ACATTATAACTTACGATTTTCCGAGCAATGATTCGTGCGGACTCGAGAAGTCATTTGTCCATCGAGATTTTGTCCGGCTGCCTTCCACATCTCGATAGCGAGGGGGTGGAGATGCAAGGTCGGTAGAATCAACTCCTGCGACTCTTCTCTGGATTTCATGAGACGTTGCTCCAATAATGCATACCCTCCTCGTGACAATACATGAGGTGCATCATTCAACCTCCGACGTTGTTGGGCAACACGTCTTTTATCCCTGCCAAGAGGGGTCCATTCGGCTGGCACAAAGCTGTAATCAATCCTCCTCACTAATTTGATACTTTAGACAGGGAGATTCATCTTGAAACTTTCCAAATACATACTCCCGTGTCAAGAAAGTCTTAAAGTCCCTCCATCTAATGGCAATGGAGGATAAAATCTTCTTCCTCATCACCTCGGTGTTAGGAACATCAAAATTTTGCTGTGAAATGACCAATAAATGTTAAATTCAATTAATAATGATATATAAAGTATTCAACAAATATAGAAATACCCGAACATCCTGCCACATGAGGTTCTTCTCGGTTTCCTCTACATCATCCCAAGATGGAGTAGTAATCGGAACATGGTGTCGAGCTAGTAGTCCCAAATAGCTCTTAAACTTAGCGACATTTGGGCCGGATGCCTTACCGGAACGTGGATCAACTTCAACTTGAGTTTTCTCTCTAGCTACCCTCCTTGCTGTCAACCCCTTTAACTGAGTGACAGATCTACCTTTATCACCACTTCCGCTCCTGCCACTGCCACTACCACTACCAGTACCAACTGTGGAATCCGACATATCTTGAAAAACAAAACAATATGAAGTCAACATACTTTATAAGTTTGAATAAAAAGAACTAGAAAATGTGAAGATAAACACCTATTATGTTGGTATGTTTTCCCATATCCCTTCATCATGATCACTTCGAATTGCATGTATGTCATCAACTTCATTGTCAACTATGTCATCAAATTGTCTACTTGAAAATGAAGGTGTTTCATGTATATCTAGAGACTCATCTTCATGAATTCCGTGCATGCTTCTTCCTTCAAGGACAATTGACCATCTCTCATTACATGGATCCTTGACATAAAATATTTGTCTCGCTTGATATGCCAAAATAAAAGGTTCGTCCTTATACCCAACTTTACTCAAATCAACCAAAGTAAATCCTAGGTCATCTGTTCGTACACCCGTATTCCCTTCAACCCATTTACACTTGAAGACAAGGCACCCTAAAAGTAACATAATCAATTTCCCATATCTCTTGTATGACCCCAAAATAACTCATAGAAGTCTGTGATAGGATTTTTGTCTTTAGAACTAGAAAAATGCATAGATTCAGCTTGAATTGTGACCTCACTATTTTGTACTCTACCTTTATCATCTTCTATTTTTGAGTAGAAACAATAGTTATTAATGTCATACCCACCAAATGTAATGACATCACTATTAGGCCCACGAGTAAGTCTCAAAAGTGTTTCTGAAGCATTAATCTCAACATATACCCTTTTTTAAACCAAGAAAGGAAACTTTTGTTATGTTCATTCAATACCCATTTTTCATTCATTCGTGGATGTGTTGCCTTTATTTCAGCTTATGTGTTGTGATATGTAAGGGATTACTTCATCGGTGTTGTTCAATATGTATAAATGTGCTTGGTCAACTTCTTTCCGACTAACATTTTTAATCTTTAAATTTCGAGTACCCTTACCTTCACATCTTCCATCATGTCTCATCTTAGGAATACCTATTGGGTATGATTTTGACATGTATCCTAAACAAAACTCAATGGCTTCTTCTGCAATGTACCTTTCCACAATAGAAGCTTCTGGCCTGTACTGATTCTTCACATATCCTTTTAAGATCTTCATGCATCTCTCAACAGGATACATCCATCTAAGAAAAATTGGGCCACATAATCAAATTTTCCTTACCAAATGGACTATCAAATGCACCATGATATCAAAAAATGAAGGGGGAAAATACATTTCTAACTGGCACACTATTACAATTGCTTCATTTTCTAATTCATCTAACTTTTTTGGATCAATTACCTTTTTACAAATGGCGTTGAAAAACAAACATAACCGAGTAATAGCAATTCTAACAGAAGTTGGTAAGATGTTTCGAATCGCCACTGGTAAAAGTTGTTGCATCAACACATGACAATCATGAGACTTTAAACCAACTAATTTCAACTCTTGCATAGACACAAGACTCTTAACATTTGAGGAGTATCCTTGTGGCACTTTGACCTCATGTAAACACTCACAAAAGCTTCTCTTTTCTTTCTTTGATAGAGTATGACAAACTGGAGGTAAGTAAGTGCGTTTTCCAACTGATTGTGGATGTAATTCAGAACGTATACCCATATCTGCCAAATCTTGTCTTGCTTTTATTCCATCTTTTGTCTTTCCTTTTATGTTAAGCAATGTTCCAATTATACTATCACAAACATTTTTTTCAACATGCATCACATCTATACAGTGTCTAACTTCCAACTTACACCAATAAGGAAGATTGAAGAATATAGACTGTTTCTTCCAAATGTTTTTCTCATTGGATTTCTTTTGGGTCTTTCCAAACACAATATTAATATTTTTCACTTGCTCATATACTTGTTCACCATTGTGTGGTACTCGATGCAATTGCATTCTCCTGACTTCCATTAAATGCTTTCTTCATTTTACGATATGGATGATTAGCAACTAGAAACTTTCTATGCCTATTGTACGCAGTTTTTGTCCATGTTTCAATTGGATATAACTTGTGTCTTCTTGACATAAAGGACATGCTAAATGACCTTTCACACTATAACCGCTCAAATTACCATATGCTTGGAAAATCATTTATAGTACAAAATAACATTGCACGCAACCTGAAATTCACTTCGTGATATGAATCAAATACATCCACTCCTGTTTCCCACAACATCTTCAAATCATCAATTAAAGGACTAAGATATACATCTATGTCATTTCCTGGTTGTCGAGGTCCTGAAATCATCATAGATAACATCATATATTTTCTCTTCATGCATAACCAAGGAGGCAAATTGTAAATGATCAACATAACTGGCCATGAACTATGTTTACTACTTAAATTTCCATAAGGATTCATCCCATCTGTAGCTAATCCAATTCTCAAGTTTCTTGGCTCTGCACCAAATTCTGGAAAGGTTTCATCAATCCTTTTCCATTGTGGAGAATCAGCTGGATGTCGAAGAAGATTGTCACATTTTCTACCATTTGCATGTCATGTCAAGTTTCTTGCATCTTTTTTAATGGCAAATAATCTTTTAAACCTAGGTATAATTGGCAAATACCATAACACCTTAGCAGGGGGACCATCTAGTTCTTCCTCACCACTACTTTCCTCAACTTTGTTTTTGAACCTCGACAAACCACATGTCGGACACATATTTAATTTAGCAAAATCATTTATGTACAATATATAATCATTAGGACATGCATGTATTTTCTTGTACTCTAAACCCATTGAACATAATATCTTCTTTGCCTCATAGTTACGAATAGGTAATGTATTATCTTCAGGAAGCATCTTCTTCAACAACTCCAATAATTCGGTGAAACTTTTATCAGTCCATCCATTTCTTGCTTTTAAAGTAAACAATTTTAAAGTTGCTGATAATCTTGTAAAACTACATCCTATGTACAATTGTTGCGCAAAATCAGATTTCAAAGAATCATATAGATGTGCTTTCAGAAAATTTTCTTCACCAATATCACGTATCATATCCTCTAGATTATCATCCATCCCTTCATCAAAATTGTCTGTAGTTGACACAGTTGGGATGTCTAATATTTCTCCATGCCATGTCCATATTGTATAACTCTTAATAATACCATAAACAAACAAGTGATCACGTATATCCTCAAGTTTATGACAAATTTGATTCAAACAACGAACACATGGACAATAATATGTCCCTTTCATAGCTTTTCCATTTTCACTAGCAAATTTCAAAAATTCTTCAACTCTCTTTTCGTACTCTTCACTAATACGACGTGCATTCATCCAACTTCGATTCATATTATGTTATAAAGTTTCGTCACTCCTAGAGATTTAAAAATTATATGTAAAAAGAAATTAATATACAAACAACAAAGCACGTTCCAACAACAATGAAGTGTGTAAACCGAATGCACTCAAACAAACAAACAAATAATTACATTCCAATAACAATCCAGTGGAGACATTCATACTATAACGTGATTGAGATCCCCAAAAACAATCACGGATTCAATGTAAACATATAACAATGACATAGAACACTAACCTCGAGTGTAGACGAAAAATGATTTCAAACTCGAATCCAATCGGGGAGAAATATCAAGCTCGTCAAATGACACACAATGTAGATGTTTTTCACTATAAAACTGATCGAAAATGGTGTGCAGAGGTAGCTGTTGTCGTCGTTCTCAAAAACCCTGGTTGCGCGAGACGAGGGAGTGAGCCAGGGAGGGAATAAAAGAGACTTTTTACGTCGTGCATCCCAGCACGCGACGTAAAAGAGGCTTTTTACGTCGCGTGCTGGGGTGTGCGACGTAAAAGTTGTGTCCCTTATTTACAAAATTGCCACCGCGTTTTATTTACGTCGAATATTTTTACATGCGACGACAATTGGGTGACGTAAAAGCCCTTTTCTGCACTAGTGTATAAAACAAACAAAACATATCATTAGTGGTGATCAGTTCGAACTTAGCGGTGGATCATTAAAAAAATTGCATAAAACTTTTGATGACAGTAATTCACATCTCTATGTGTATTTTATGGCATAAAAAGAATTTTGACATAGTTTAATTGATAGTATTTTTATTTCATTACCATGGATTGCAACATCATCTTCATTTTGAAGGCATTCCGGTTATCTCTCAAATAACTCATTAACATTCAATTTAAGCATAGTTTGTGCTATATATATATATATAGGTGATGATTTGTTATGCAGGACTTCATGGCAGGTAATTAACTCCCTGCCATTCCAGGTCAAGTGCTAACACTGGCTGACCGGAAAAATCATCTAACAACCATATTTCCTAAGGTTACTATGCAACTCTAACCATGTTAAGAAGGTACTTAGTTGCCCAGTGTTTAAATTTGTGCAGGTCAAGAAATGAGAGGTGCTGATTGTGGCCCTCCTGATATGATATGCGCTGTCCCGGCTTTTTGGGTATTTGACTTGACTATGCAGCACACAATTCAATAATCTTCATCTTACAGTGAGATATAATGTATCTTGTTGACTATATATAATAGAAAATATGTACTTAATTTACTTTTAACAGGGTCTGCAGAGAATAATAAACAGTGCTAATATTTGTCTATTACTTTTTCATCATATCAATAGTCCCAATTAATTTCATCACATCATATCATAATCAAATCTGTTATTTCAATCTGACGTTAGTTTATGGTGGTTAACTTTCCTCTCTCAGGTAGGTTTACTGTATGATGAGATTTCACTACAGAATGTTGTAGATATGGTTGCTGATTGGACTGCTTAAGACATACAGAATTTAAGGTATATGGTAATGAAAAACATAACCAGACATATACTTTGTGGAAAAATGCAGTCGTTGGCCAGCACTCTTCTTCGAAGTCAGGACTTCTTAACATATTGTATGTTTAGGTTCCAATAACTGGTTTAAGGACTCCAATTCGAGGTAGATTGCTGTGACATATTGCAGAAGATGTGCTGAAGTGGGCAAAGGTATATATATCTGGAACGTTTCTGATTTGAGAAAAGAGAAATTTGGAAGTAGGTTTAAGGCATGCGTATGCATCTATTGTTTTGCAGGATGGATTGGACAGAAGATGCTTCAATGAATCTGTCTTCTTGGATCCATTGAAGGAAGTGGCTGGGACAGATATCTAAGTATTACTCCGTTTCCGCACATTTGACATTGATATGAGATTATGTGGACAGTTTTGACCCAAGCCGACAAGCTATTGGAGATGTATCATAACAAGTGGGGAAACAACATAGACCATGCGTTCACAGAATGTTGCTACTAAGTTCACTGAGATTCTCCTATGCATAAGAAGAAGGTCGAAGAATGCATTGCACACACCAGAATAACACCTTCGCATGCATTGCTTCATAGCTAGTATTAGTAGTGTTCAATACGCGCCATGAAGGAATGTCGTACTAAATGTTTGTTCAGTACGAAGTGATTTCATAAGAATAAAAATGATGAATGTTTCCTGTTTACGTTTCAAGTAAAAGAATGTGGCAGACCATCATGTCCTATTAAAATTCTAACGAATGTCCCATAGAATATTTTTTTAATTTGTTTTTCTTATATTAAAATTTTAATTTGTAACTAATTTTAAACTATCATTTTGTTTTTGCTATACTTAATTTTTATAATGATTCGTGTCTTTCAATTTATCGTTTTTTATATTTATTTTAAAATCATATTTCAATATTTTTCAAAAGATATTAATAGTTAAATATATTCTTATAGCATTTGATATTGTATCGTAAATCTAAAATAAAAATATATATTATAAGAGATTTATTCATTATAAATATAATTAGCATTTATATCGAGGAACAAGTTCAAATATTCTAAGCAAAAATACCCTAAAGCAGTTTAATTATTTGTCTCGGTTTGGTTATTATTTTTAATTCAAAATATGAATAAACTATTATAATAAACATAAAAAATAATCAATTTTCGGTAAATAACTTTAATTAATTTTCGATTACATTTATTTGGAATAATTCCGTTTTTAAACACCCTAAACGTCAACTTTTTTTCTAAATAATATAAATTCCATAAGGTTTTGTCATTCAAAAAGAGAAAAAAATTAAGTAACATTAAAATGAAGAAGTTTTAAAGAATACACAATGAAAGTTTTATAAAATTTTAATTTGTCCAAATAAATTAAAACAAAAATCAAACATAGAAGAAAAAATGAATTATTTTATTCAAATAAACTATTTTAAAGATAAATAACAGTTGAAGTAATTAAATTTTTGTGTATTTATATTTTTTATGTTTCAAAATTATCATTCTCATATGAAATACTGGTAAGGAATTTGACACAGTAGTTAGTATTTTTTTTATCAAAAATTATTTTATTTAATTAAAATTTATCAAAAAATAAATATCTTAAATAATCTTGAATATGAAAAAAAATTATAATAAAAAATTATAATAAATAAATAATATTAAAATATAATTTATATGTTAATTTTTGAATAAATAATTTATATTATAAAATAACATTATTAACATTTAAATTTATTGAAATAAAAAATCTAAAATTATAATGAAAACTTTAAAAATAATTTTCTAAACTAATTTTTGAAAATGGTCTAAATTTTAATTATTTTAATTTATACATACTGGATTAAAACTATGTTTGTTGAAATATTTTGTTGGCATAATTTGTTTTGAAATAAAGTTTCTATGAGTAATATATTATTTTTAGTAGAAGTAGTATAAGAGAAAATGAAATTAAAGATAAATACAAATACAAATACTACTCATCTTTTATGTGTAATTAACATCCGTAATTACGTGGAGATTATCTATGATGATAAATAAATATTTTGTAAAACTCCAAGTTTAGAAAATTAGTATCTGTTTTTAAATGATTTTCTTTCAAAATATAAATTTATAATATAATATTAATTAATATTTTATTATTCAATAAGTTGTAAAAATTATAAAAAAAGCAAGTCTAAACCTTTATGCTAAACTATTTTAAAATACACTATATTTTAGCATCATAATCTCCTAATAAAAGGATTAACCCCTTATCCCATACATATTTTATAAAAAAATCCTATACAAATAAGCTTGTAGGTCTCACATAACATATGAATAGTTTAATATTATAGAAATTAAAAAATGATTAGAAATGAACAAATTATTTATAGTTTTTCAGAGTTATTATTAAGCCCATCTCTTGTCTAGTTTAAGGTAGTAAAATTGTCATGGAGTAGTTAAAATATGTAAAATATTTTGATTAACTTTAAATTAAATTATAAAAATGTTTAGAATGATAAATTTTATTACTGAAATTTCCCTCCCTCGTTTCCAACGACGACGATTCTCCCCCTCGGGTTCGTGTTGTTTCCTCTCTCATCAAGCCTGTTCTATCTATCGGAAATGTTGGGTTGTCTATCTCTATTCTCTTTTTCGTTTTGGCTTACTCTTTCCCACTCTTTTCGGTTACAAATTTGTTCTATATCACTGGTTTCTGCTACGTTATTGACATTTTTACTGCATAATGTTCATTTATATTTTATGGAATCGGATTTACCTTTTGGTTTTCAATTTATCTTCCTACTTTATTGACAATGTCATATAATTGTGGCAGCATAGACGTTGGTCAAACATAGAATCATTAAAAGCCGATTAGGTTTATTTTCTTGGACAAGTGAACTGTTAGCACTTGCAACTTTAAAATTAACATCAAAGTGAAGCATAAAACATCCCATGTTGATAGCAGAGATCATGTTCTCTAAAAGGGCTACCTCTCTCTTTACATATACCTGGAGTAATCATATTAGTTACCACACTGCTTGTTAATGTTGTCATTCAATTACTTATTTCTTTGTTTTCCATATCTGGTATTTTGGATGAGTGAACTTAACTGTGCTGAATTTGTGGAGATAGAACTTAGTGGCTGGAACAGAAAACTGTAATTTTATTTACGAGGTTACTTACTATTGATTACTTGTAACCACTTATGCTAATAGATACCTGTGAAGAAGTTAATAATGTTTTGTCTTAGCAATTTAGCAGTTAGGAAATCATGTTGTTGGATATTATTTGGCCTTAAAAATTAAGGCTTAAGCTTGTATTGATCTGCTTCACAGGACTTTCTTTTACTCTATGAGCCTCCTATGCGTGTAGTGATCCCGATGTAGTTCAGCTTTGTGATACACGTTCAGCTTTGATGCAGTTGATTACGTGACTACTGTACAATTATTAGTTTATTGAAGAACATTCCGATGTGACCCTCAACTCTTAATGGAAGATCTGGTCTCAACAGTGAATTTCTCTTTGGAGCTTCGAAGATCCTTTTCTTCCCAGGGTTCTTTTATATATATATTATTTCAATTTTATATTTTGAGAATTTTATGATAATCTGAGTTCCTTAATGATATCCTTTTCTTTTGGGATTTAAATACCAATATTATCCTCCTCATCTAGTTATTCAATGTTTTGTTGAACGTGGGGAATTTTGTCGCACCAAATTATATTGTTTTGAATCTACTGTTGCTGAGTGAGAATCTTCTCTTGTTGTTCCATCACTAAAATTGATTATTAAGTCATTCACTGTTCAATGATTTCAAACTCTTTTGCATTTAAATTTTGTTATCACTCACTAACTTTTGCCTCTAAATCGATAATTTTAAACTAGTTTTAAATATTTATTGATCCAAACTTCCTTCTCTATGCCATGATTTTTTCTTTTTGTTTTTCTAATGTTATAAACTTTTATTCATATTTTAAAGAGGTTTATTAGGCTAGTGGTGGGAAATTGTAATATTATTTTAATTGTTGGCAATTTTTATTTTTTATTTTCACATGACATGTCATTTATTTAATACAACATATGTGAATTTTTATGATAGATAACCAAATCAAAAGAACATTCAATTTTTTATGATAGATTGTGTGTTTGTAAATATATAAATTATATAACATTGATTTGAAAATATTATGATAACATTTAGTACACATTTTAACTGTATATTTAAATTTATATTAACTATATATTATATTTAAAATTTGATATAATCAAAATTAAATTATTTTTAAATTTGTATTATATTTAATTACATTTCTAAAACTAAATTCTAATATAAATTGTATTGATTAAAAGAATATTTTTCAAAAATATCAATATTTTGCATATTATTTTTAGGAATATAATAAATGCATGTGTTTTCTCCTTTTAAAGGAAAAAGAATCCTATTAGAGTTAGTATTTTACGCGTGGGTTGTATTAGACAAGTGACCTGACGCGGATTTTATATAAATTGCGTGGGAGACTTGTCTTTACTAGTATATTCATTGAGTTCAGAGCTGAGTTTTGCATTAGATTTGAAAATGGTGAATCGTCGACGCCTTACTCAAGTGGCGATGAGCGACGATGAAGATGAAACGTCGCGTCCACAACGTCCGCGAAAGAGACTAAGGCTTTTAGTGGAAGAGGAAGATGACGATAACGAGAATAAAGAGCAACAAGAAAAAAAAGAAGAGGTACCAGAATCGTCCCAACTTGTGGAGGATGCTACGCCTATTGGTGAGCCTATTAGGTTTTCAGGAAAAGGAAAAGGCAGAAGAAGTCACTATGACTCCTTCAAGTACAATGGCATCCAATATACTCTGGTAAGCTTTTTTTTTTCTTATTAATTCTTCACAAATTAGGGTTTCAAGACCACAAACTTTTTTCAATTATTTTTTGGTATTGTTTCTGCAGGAGGACTCTGTTCTTTTCTTTCCTGAAGAGAAAGGCCAAAAACCATATGCTGCAATTATTAAGGTACACTTATCTATTTCCGTTGTCAACTACTATTGTCTGTGATTTTAGATCTAAAAAATTAATAGATTCAATTTTTTCATGTCTATTAACTAATTATTATCATTCCCCTTCTCAATACTTCTTTGTGTTGCACTGATATTATGAATGGTTTTTAATTTTTTTTGAATTTTTTTATCTTCTTCAGAGGGACTTTTTCTTTACGTTGTTATTTTGATAGGATATTACACAGGGACATAATGGCCACGTAGTAGTGACAGGACAGTGGTTTTATCGTCCCGAAGAAGCTGAGAAGAAAGGTGGTGGAAATTGGAAATTATGTGATTCGAGGGAGTTGTTTTATAGTTTCCACCGTGATGATGTTCCTGCTGAGGCTATTATGCATAAGTGTGTGGTGCATTTTGCTCCCATACACAAACAACTTCCAAACCGCAAGGATCACCCTGGGTTCATTGTACAAAAGGTTTATGACAGTGTGGAAAAAAAACTTTGGAGGTTGGGTGATAAGGTTTATGATGATACTAAGCAGCAAGAGATTGATATGCTTGTTCAGAAGACTCTACAATGTATTGGTGAACTACCTAACATTGAGCTTGAGGAAGCCACTGGTGATGTGCATGATCGAGTGAAAAGTAAAAAAACTTAAGGAGAAATAATAGTTCATCTCTCGATGTTTCAAAGTATCATGCTTAAAGTGAACTGTTTGGCTATTTAAGTCTCTCCACCACCTCAACCACCCTTTCCATCACCTTTGCACTTGGACCTCCCAACTCATGTATAACGTGTCTTTTGGACAAAATGTTTGTTCTGATACATCTATATCTATATTCTTCTAAATTTCTCTGCTACATGTTTATTGTGATACATGTACACTATCTATCAACCTGGTTTTGTTTGTATATGCTTTGATTTTTAAGTTCATTATTGTATGCAGATTATGTTTATAAAAAAGATACAGATAATCCAAAGCAATAGGTGTTTTGGACTAGCATCCGAAATATGGTTTTGCATAAAAAAAATATATGTGTTTTTTTTATTATTATTTAATTGTCTAATGGTTTCTTATTACAAAATGTGCCTGGCATGTTTATATGACATTAAAAATATCATTTGCTGAAGAAAAAGTCTTCCCATAATTGTTAGTTGATTACAAAAATTGCCTTATATGTGATTCTATGTAACACTAGGAAGATATTCTCATGTATTTGGTGGAGTTTTGAGATGAAAAAAGACTTCTCACAATGATTTATTATTATTTTTTTTATTTTCCAAAATACAAAATGAAAACTTCAACCAATGATTATATATACAAATACATGACTATGCCTCTTAGGCGATACTCTTAACTTTTTTTCTATTCTTTTTCAGATTTGTATTCTTAATTAAGTTTCATACTCTCAATTCTTTAAGCTAGCTTTGTAAAAAAAAATAAAAAAAATTAGAGAGGCTTACATTGCATTTTGGTGTGGACATGGATTTTCGAGGAAAGAGGGTGAGATGAGATATGTGAAGAAAAAATGAATTTCAAGGTAAGTACTAAGGAAAATAAATTTTTATTATAAATTGTATCTTATTTGTTTTCTTATCAAATGTTAAAAAATTTACTACTAGAGGGAGATACAGAGATAGATTTATTTTAAAAGATATATGATATTGGAATTTAATTTTTTTATTGAATAATAATAATAATAAATAGTTAAATAAAAACATTAAAATAATAAATAAATTTATTAAAGCTAAATATTTAATTTGCTTTTCGAAATTTTCATTATCTTTCTTTTAATTTAAAGAGTGTTTTTTTTTCCTTTTCTCTGATAAACTTTTGAATCTAAATAAAAACTTAGTGAAAAGAAAAAAAACCTTGATTACTTTGAGATTATGTTCTACCTAAGACTCAGTTGTTGTGAAAATATTTTATGCAAGTGTTATTCACAATGAAAATTATTTAGGTGAATGAATTTAATGTAACTCTAAACGAAAGAATGATGCATTACAAAATTCTCACAATCATAATTCCCCTGTTGTGAAGAAAGTTTTCGTGTTTTTAAGTTATTTTCTCAAAATTGAGTTTGAGAAATTTAAATATATTTAAATGTGTAAAAGATTAACAACAGTATTTGTTAAATGAAATTAATCTAAAGAATCCTACATAATCAAAACCAAATAAGTTATTTTAGATTTTGATTATTATTTTTTTTTAAATTCAAATCAAACTTGAATAATTCAGAATTAAAAAAAACATGTATTGACATATTGTCAGATTGTTTAATCCAGATTATTAATTTAAATTTTGTTTATATATTTGCTTGTTCCAAACTTTTTGTTTAAACCCCGATATACTTTGTCGGATTACCATTAGGTAAGTCTTTTGGAAGTATTATTCCAAAACTTGTATTTTTTATTTTTTGTAATAATTCAGATGGGTCACTCTACAATACATTCTCCTATCACCTATTCCGTAAGTCTTTTGAAAACGATATTCTTGAACCTATTTTACGTGACAGTTAACTAAACTTTGCAAACACAATCTTATCGTAAGAGGATGAAAAACAAAATATGTTAATATAAAAAATAAGTGTCTAATAAAATTAGGTTTGTGTTTTTGTTTAGAAATTCAATCCAACCCAAATCATTGTGTGGAACCATCAAATTCAGCAATTTAAGAAAATGCTAAAATACATACCATCAAATTCCTAAAATACTAAATACTATAATATTTTTTATATTATTACTATTATTCATATAATCATGGCTAATAAGACCTAAATAAATGAATGAAAATAATGACATTTTTCCTATGTATGTAATATATTTTAAATTCTATAGATAAAAAAATACATGTTATCCTAACATATTATCATCTTGTACCTCAAAATAAACACTACAAGAAAAACGCTATTAGCGACCGAAAAAATCGGTCGCTAATGGCCAAAAATCGATCGCTATTCCGTTAGCGACCGAAATTAGCTGATCGAAATGGTTGGTCGCAAAAGGGCAAGTCGCTAATTTGTTAGTGACTGACTTACATTTCGGTCGCTAAAGTGGTCGCTAAATAATTTGGTCACTTATTCATTGAAGACCAAAATAGCGACCTAAAAATAATATAATAAATCGATCGCTAAATCCGTGGTAAAGTTTTAAAAAATAGCGACCGATATATTCGGTCGCTAATATATTAATATAATTATTTAAATAATAATTAAAATCGGTCGCTAAATCGATCGCTAAATTGGAGACAAAGTTAAAAATAATAGCGACGGGTATAATCGGTCGCTAATATATTAATTGAATTATTTAAATAATAATTTAAATCGGTCACTAAATCGATCGCTAAATTTGAATTGTATATTATAATAAATTTGTAGCGACCAAAAATTCGATCGCTAATCTAACCAAATCTGAAAATTTTCGTTTAAAATTTTGTATATCCAATTTGACAAAATTTGTACCTGCTTAATTCATCCAAACATAACACAAATGAAAACTTAAGAACTAAAGTCAAATTTTGTATATCCAATTTTACAAAATTTGTACCTGCTAATTCATCCAAAATAACACAAATGAAACTTAAGAACTTAACAACTACTCAAGATTCAAAGTCTTAATATCATAAAATTGAAAATTAGTCCTCCGGTATATTGTCGGTGTCATGTTGACTTGTAGTAGGAATTTTATGAAGGAAGCCAAGATCTATTAATTATTCTATTATAATAATAATCCTAATTAATAATTGAAGGTCATTCTTTGAGGAAGCCAAGATCCGTCCGATTCTCGGATCAATGAAGGTGTGACTCGAAACTGCTCAACTCCTTCATTCTTCAATTCTCCGGCCCATTTCACTCTTTGGGATGGACGAAACCCGGTCCGTAACACCTGCACTCTTATCAAATTACTCCAAACTTGTTCAACTCAATAAACAACAATTTTATACACTTTAGACCCTCTTTCACTTTGATGTTTTTATGAAATTATCAACAATTTTGTTGTTAGATCCATTGATTTAATGAGTATAAGAAGGCCTTGGTGATGATAACAATACTACAGAATGGAGTTAGAAATGATTGTCTGTATTCATAGAAGCAAGAAGTTCTTTCATTCTCAACTTTGCCCCAATTATTCCACCCTACAGGCTTTATACATTGATCCATGAAAGTGAATGCAAAAACCACTCTTGCAAAAGGTCTCCATGGTCTTCCCAGATATGCATATGAAGTTCCCACATTACCTGTGACAACACATCTGCAATGACACCACAAACAAAACATCATGTAAGGAACCAAAATGTTCACAACATAATAAAAGTACTTTACTTGTGTAGTATCCTTTCTTGGACTCGGAAGTTTAACAGATTAACACACCAAAGAAACACCGTAAAGGGAGAGGAGCAAAATATTGACAAGGAAGGATAGAGTAGTATGAGATTCAAAGATTTTTATTCTAAGATTTCTTACGAGATTCCCGAATTCATTGAATTTTCAAGGGATCATTTACCTAGCTTCAAGAGAATCTGGTTCTTGTTTTAACCTATAATGTTTTTTCTAATTAAATACTCCTAAATCCGTGTTAGCCATGCTTCTAAACATTTACAAACCAAACTGCAAAACTTAAAAGCAAGATCATCTTCAAAACCAGACATTCTCTCATTATCTTAATCAGTTTTCATAAACATGACTCGATCATGATGATAAACTTCAACCTAGGTACTTACTTGATTTCACATCGAAGAACTAAGAGAGAACATATTTTGCCTTGGAATTGGAAAACAAAGTAAGAGTCACTAACACTCGTTGTATTGTAGGGGAAACAAAATGATTGGGAAATGTCTCTTTCCTTGTTAAACAAGTTACAATGACTAAAAAAATATTATGTGGGAAGATGATGTTGTAAGTATTAGGCATGATCACACACCTCAGGAATACATAACCAATTTTTTCCTGTGGAGAGTTTCGCTTCAGTGCGGTTATAAACCCCAGGGACTTGCAATGGATGTGACAATGTTCCAAGAGTGCAAGTACTATTACCAAAAATGAAGTCCACACTCCCTTCAATGTAACAATCTTTCAAGTATTGTTTTCCATAATGTAAGTACAATGTGTCCTGCACTAATCACAAAATAAGTTTATTTATCACCTTGGTACCTCGATTTTCCTCAAATGAAACGAAGGATAATGGTGTACAAAACCATCTAGCCTAACAATCATGGCCTGTTGTTAATTGAAGATCTTATTATGTTTACGCAACACACACTATAAAGGATACATCATGCACACATAACTTTCTAAAATCAAACTCAGAATAAAAATATGAAGACAGTGAAGCACCTGCCACCCAAGGAACCTGCAATTATAGAAAGCACAACGATTTGCTGTTACTCTGAGTGCCACTGCCTGCCCTGCACCCTGCTAGGTAAAAGAGGGAAACAAAAGAACAGTGTGCACAAGGTCTCGCTAAAATTCCTTCATATTTTAAACATAACAATGGTGTTCATATTTTAAACAAAACAAAACAAGTTCCCAAATTGGTCTGTCAAGCACCACCAAATCCGCAGTAAGAGGGATCGAAGAACTTATCTACTTCACAAATCCACCTACAACAAACGATAAAGAAATTCTGTCAAAATTATTTCTCCTATATTATTCACAATGC